TCCAAGGAGTGGCTGGTGGGTTTGAACCGCCAGCCTTCTGGTTAGCAGTCAAGTGCCTTAGGCACTGCACCACCAGAGCTCCCAACAAAAACATACACCAATTCAAATTTCTACATGTAGTGCAACCATTCTCGCCATCCTTTTCCGAGTTGTTCCTCCCCTAACTTATTGCTCCCTAAGGTTCCTGTCTAATCTTTCGAGTTGCTGTTGTCATTTTGATCCCATAGAGATAGCTCTTAAAGAGCACAGTGCCCAAGGCAGAACTTCTTTACTAGTGAAGCTAAACTGTTTGATTTTGAGAAGACTTCAGGGGATGTTTTTGGTTTAAGATTTAAAGATTATCTTAGGGCATTAGTTTCAGGGGTTCATCCAGCTTCCATGGCTCCAGAAAATCTGGATTCTATGAGAATACGACATTCTGTTCTAATTTTTCCGTTTAGATCAGGATTCTTCTATAGTATCTTTGATCAAAATGTTCAGTAATGGTAGTTGGACACCATCTAGTTCTTCTGGTCTCAGGGCAAAGGAGGCTGTTCATGGAGACGATTAGCCAAACATTTCCTATCTTCTTCCTATTTCTGACTCTCCTCCTTCCTCTCTTGCTCCAGATAAACAGAATCAACTGCCATGTACCTTGGATGGCTGCTTACAAGCTTTTAAAACCCCAGGCACTATGCAACGAACTCAGAGATAGAATGGAAGCACTAAACATGATTCGGGGCCAATTAACTGGAACGGTCCATGAAACCTTGACCCTAAACCACCGAACCAAGGAACCAAATCCTGTGAGGTGTTTCTTTGTATATAAGCAGGCTCAGCAGCTACCTTTTGTTTTTTTTGTCTTATATCTGTCACACAACTTTTGTCAATTCAACTTTTTATAGGTAGCTGTATAACTTACTGGGGAGCTCTGGTGCTCTAGTGCCTAAGGCATTTGACTGCTAACCAGAAGGCTGACGGTTCAAACCCACCAGCCACTCCTTGGAAGGAAGATTGGGCAATCTACTTCCGTAGTGATACCACTTCGGAAACCCAAGGAAGGGTTGCTGTGAGTCAGATCTGACTTGGAGGCAGTGAGTTGTTTTTTTTTTTTTAAATATAACTTATAGCAATTAGATTCCTCAGCTGTGGAGAGGAAGTACTTTAAATGAGCACCTGCATGGTGCCAGGCACTGCATGGCTGTTACGCTGTATCATGTTATCTTCTCAAGCAGCGGTTGTTATCATCCTCTACTGGAGGGAAGAGGAAGCTGAGGCTCAGAGAGGGAAAGTGATTTGTCCATGGTCACACAACTAAGACAGGATGAAGCTGGGATATGGACCCATCTGTCTGAATATAAAGCCTCAAGCAATTTAGGCACCATGGGAAGTATGCTTATTAACTGTTACACTTATAATACTCTATGTCAGGCAATGTTCTAAGTGCTTTACCTACATGAATTTATTTAATCCTTCAAACCCCCTAAGAGGTAGGTGCCATTATTATCCTCATTTTACATATGAGGAAACTGAGGCACAGAGCAGTAAAAGAACCTCCCTAGTCAAAGGGATAGAGCTGGCATTGAAACCCAGGCAATCTGGCTGCAGGCCCCATGCTTTTACGTCGCTCTGCCATCTGCCCTATCATAGTAATACCTTGTTCTTAGATGATGCTTGAACTAGCTTTTCCTGAATTGGGCATGATAGTTACTGTTTTCCCTTTTTTTGTTGCTGGGTGCTGTCTGATCGATTCTAACTCATAGTGACCCCATGTGACAGAATAGAGCTGCCCCATGGGGTTTTCTTGGCTATAATTTATACGAGAGCAGATCACAGGTCTTTCTCCTGTAGAGCCGCTGGGGGCTTTCAAACTGCCAACCTTGTGGTTAGCAGCCAAGAGCTTGACCATTGCACCACCAAGGCTCCTTTTCCCCATTTTATAGACGAGGAAACTGAAATTCAGAGAGAAGGGACTTGCTTAAGATCACACAGCAGGTACCTGGGTTTCGTCTAATGGCAAGGGCAGCGGTTGCAGGCCGGATCTCCTGTGGTAGACAGTCATCCCAGCTCATGTTTGTGGAGCACTTACCCAGGAGCAAATGCTGCGTCAGGTGCTTTATACACATTTAAAACTAATCATCACAATGGTACGTCCTCTCGTGTTCCCAGGTTACAGATGAGGAAACTGAGGCTCAAGAGCAGTGAAATGACTTGCCCAAGGTCATGCACTTGACGGTTGGCAGGATTCAAACCCTGGTTTC